GGTGAAACCCTCCTATCCTCATACAGGTGTCGTCTCCTGTGGAGGATCAAAGTCCAGCCACCAGACACTTCTGGAACATTCCAGGACTCCCGGGCCCCCCAAGGGTGCTCTCGGTGGCATCTCAGGACTCAGATCCTGAGATCCCACACCGCTGTCCCCTGGGATGCTCCGGAGGGAGGTGACACCATCACTTGTCCTTGTCCCCTTGCAGAGAGCCAGCCCACGACGTCGGACGAGACCGTGGTGGCCGGGGGCACGGTGGTGCTCAAGTGCCAGGTGGAGGATCCCGACGATTCCTCGCTGCAGTGGTCCAACCCTGCCCAGCAGACGCTGTACTTCGGGGAGAAACGAGGTAAAACCCCAAAGGTTGGGGAAAAATGGGGTGAAATCCCAGGGTTTGGGGAAAATGGGGTAAAATCCCACAGTTGGGGAAAATGAGGTAAAATCCCACAGTTTGGGGAAAATGGGGTAAAGCCCCAACTCAGGGTAAAATCCCATAGTTGGGGGAAAAGGAGGTAAAGCCCCAAAGTTAGGGAAAAATGAGGTGAAATCCCACAGTTTTGGGAAAATGGGGTAAAATCCCAACTCATGGTAAAACCCCAGAGCTGGGGAAAAAAATAGGTAAAATCTCAAAGTTGAGGAAAAAAGAGGTAAAATCCCAACTGGAGGTAAAATCCCACAGTTGGGGAAAAAGGAGGTAAAACCCCAACTTGAGGTAAAATCCCAGAGCTGGGGAAAATGGGGTAAAATCCCACAGTTGGGGAAAATGAGGTGAAATCCCACAGTTTGGGGAAAATGGGGTAAAATCCCAACTCAAGGTAAAACCCCACAGCTGGGGAAAAAGGAGGTAAAACCTCAAAGTTGGGGAAAAATGGGGTAAAATCTCAAAGGTGGGGAAAAATGGGGTAAAATCTCAAAGGTGGGGAAAAATGGGGTAAAATCCCATAGTTTGGGGAAAAGGAGGTAAAATCCCACCTGGAGGTAAAATCCCAGAGCTGGGGTTGGTGGCACTGAGCTTGGGCACTGGGCTGGGGTGGTGGCACTGNAATGGACATGGGCACAGCCACCTGGCTGGGAGATTGCCCTCTGTGCCTAAATCCAGGCTGTGCCACCCTGGCTGGGAGATTGCCCTCTGTGCCTAAATCCAGGCTGTGCCACCCTGGCTGGGAGATTGCCCTCTGTGCCTAAAATCCAGGCTGTGCCATCCTGGCTGGGAGATTGCCCTCTGTGCCTAAAATCCAGGCTGTGCCATCCTTGATGAAAGATTTCTCACTGTGCTTAAAATCCAGGTTGTGCCAGGTGCAGGATTTGGGGTTCCAGGGCAGGATTTGGGTTTCCAGGTGCAGGATTTGGAGTGCCAGGGGAAGGATTTGGGATGCCAGGGGAAGGATTTGGAGTTCCAGGTGCAGATTTTGGAGTTCCAGGGCAGGATTTGGGATGCCAGGTGCAGAATTTGGGGTTCCAGGTGCAGGATTTGGGGTGCCAGGTGTGGGATTTGGGATGCCAGGGGAAGGATTTGGGATGCCAGGGGAAGTTTTTGGAGTACCTGGGGCTGCTTTCGGTGTGAGAGGATTTGGGGAATGGCGCTGCTGGAGGTTGGGGGTGTTTGGTTATAGAGGGAAGGGAGGCACGGGTTTATTTGTTAGGAGGTAATATAGAATAGAATAATAATAATAATAATAATAATAATAATAATAATAATAATAATAATAATAATAATAATAGCAATAATAAGAATAAGAATAAGAATAAGAATAGTAGTAGTAGTAGTAGTAATAGAATTATGTTATTATATATATAATATATAAAATATATTTTAATAGATGTATAATGAAATATATAATATTATATATAATATATAAATATATAATACTATATATAATATATAAAAATATAATATATATAATATATAGTATCACTATATAATATATAGTGATATATATTATATAGTGATTATATTGGTTATATAATATATGGTAATATATAATGATATGTAAAAGATAGAAATAATTATATATATTACATATTATGCCGTATAAAATCATAAAGTATAAATATATAATATAGTTACATGTTATATTATGTTATATTGATTATGTAATGTATAATAATATATATAATAATTATATATTCTACAATATAATTGCATATTATATTATAGTATATTATATGACATTATATGACATTATATGATATTATGTGACATTATATTGTATTATATTATATTATATTATATGACATATGACATATGACATATGACATTATATTATATGACACATTATATTACATCATATTACTACATTACATAATATTACATTACATTACATTATATTACATTACATTACATTATATTATATTATATTATATTATATTATATTATATTTTCATATATAATAATNCTGGAGAGATCCACGCCCAACGAGCTGACCATCAGCATCAGCGACGTGGTGCTGGCCGACGAGGGCGAGTACACCTGCTCCATCTTCACCATGCCCGTCAGGACAGCCAAGGCCCTGGTCACCGTGCTGGGTACGACATGGGCACAGCCCTGAGTGTGCCACCCTGCCTGGGAGATTGCCCTCTGTGCCTAAAATCCAGGCTGTGCCACCCTGGCTGGGAGATTGCCCTCTGTGCCTAAAGTCCAGGCTGTGCCACCCTGGCTGAAAGATTGCCCTCTGTGCCTAAAATCCAAGCCGTGCCACCCTGGCTGAAAGGTTTCTCATTGTGCTTAAAATCCAGGCTGTGCCACCCTGGCTGAAAGATTGCCCTCTGTGCCTAAAATCCAGGCTGTGCCATCCTTGATGAAATGTTTCTCATTGTGCTTAAAATCCAGGCTGTGCCACCTTGGCTGAAAGATTGCCCACTGTGCCTAAAATCCAGGTTATGCCACCTTTGATGAAAGATTGCCCTCTGTGCCTAAAATCCAGGCTGTGCCACCCTTGATGAAAGGTTTCTCATTATGCTTAAAATCCAGGCTGTGCCACTCTGGCTGAAAGGTTCCTCGTGCTTAAAATCCAGGCTGTGCCACCCTTGATGAAAGATTGCCCACTGTGCCTAAAATCCAGGTTGTGCCACCCTTGATGAAAGATTGCCCACTGTCCCTAAAGTCCAGGCTGTGCCACCCTGGCTAAAAGAATTCCCTCATTTCCTAAAGTCCAGACTCTGCCACCCTTGCTGAAAGATTTCTCACTGTGCTTAAAATCCAGGTTGTGCCACCCTTGATGAAAGATTTCCCAGTGCCAGGTGCAGGTTTTGGGGTTCCAGGGCAGGATTTTGGATCCCAGGGCAGAATTTGGAGTACCAGGTGCAGGATTTGGGGTTCCAGGTGCAGGATTTGGGATCCCAGGGCAGGATTTGGGGTTCCAGGTGCAGGATTTGGGATGCCAGGTGCAGGATATGGAGTGCCAGGGGCAGGATTTGGGATGCCAGGGGAAGTTTTTGGAGTACCAGGTGCTGGATTAGAGGTTCCAGGGGCAGGATTTGGGATGCCAGGTGCAGGATTTGGAGTTCCAGGGGCAGGATTTGGATTTCCAAGTGCAGATTTTGGGGTTCCAGGGTAGGATTTGGAGTACCAGGGGCAGGATTTCGGATCCCAGGGCAGAATTTGGAGTGCCAGGGGAAGGATTTGGGACGCCAGAGCAGGATTTGGGATGCCAGGTGCAGGATATGGAGTGCCAGGGGCAGGATTTGGGATGCCAGGGCAGGATTTGGGGTTCCAGGTGCAGGATTTGGGGTGCCAGGGGAAGTTTTTGGAGTACCAGGTGCAGGATTAGAGGTTCCAGGGGCAGGATTTGGGGTCCCAGGGCAGGATTTCGGATCCCAGGGCAGGATTTGGGGTTCCAGGTGCAAGATTTGGTTTGCCAGGTGCAGGATATGGAGTGCCAGGGGCAGGATTTGAGCTTCCAGGGAAAGGATTTGGGATGCCAGGGGAAGATTTTGGGATCCCAGGTGCAGGATTTGGAATACCAGGGCAGGATTTGGATTACCAAGTGCAGATTTTGGAGTTCCAGGGTAGGATTTGTGCTACCAGCTGCAGGATTTAGGGTACCAGTGCAGGATTTAGGGAGGAAAGAACTCCACAACCGCCATCAGC